TTCAAACAATTTTAACCTAAATTATCTGAACTTCATTAACTAATTTATACAGTACTCAGATATTCATTTGGTTAATTAAAATAAATTTTTTATAACTATTTGAACCCTTAATTAATTTGTACAAGAGCTTGTATTTGTCAGAGATTACTATAATTCATATTTTAATAGTACAGGAGTGCAGATTTGCTAATGTGAATGTGCATTCATCCAAATTCAGATTAAGCAGAATTCAGCTTAATCAGGATGTCTACTAGTCACAAATTTTTCATCAGAAAACATTTTTCCACTTTCTGAAAGGAAATACAGTAGAGCATCAATTATCCGAATGTCAATTAACCGAAAGCTTTCCAGTTGGCAAATTTAAATTTCCACTACTGCTGTGGCGCTGCAATCTTTATTCTATGTCTTAGGCTACTCCAATATTATTTTTGTTGGTGTGCATGTTTTAGCTGGCAGCACTGGCACGACCATGAGAGGGTACTTAGAACGTGCCAGGATTTGAACAAATTTCAACATGGGATAGGTTAATATATTTTTTCGTACATTGGTTATCTGAAAAATCAATTTTCCGAACAACCCCAGTCCCCAATTGATTCAGATAATCGATGCTCTACTGTAATCATTTACTGTACTTCTTATCAATAACTAATGTTGAATATTGGGTATCCCTTGTTTTGTATTCAATATCAGTACAGAAGTCCTTTCCTGCCACTATTGCATTTTAACAAAACAATAATTGACTATGTGAAGTATATATATGCTAGAATTTTCATGTACTAATTAAGCATGTGTCCCTATCATTTTACTTTTAGAAATTTTAAATGATTATTATTTTATGCTAATTATAGTAAAAGTTCAAGATAAATTTAATTCCAGTTTCTTTTAATTTATTACTATTACTTAAAGACTCTTCAGGAAATGAATTATCACATTCAAAAGGGTTTATGAACCCTTGATAAATAAGCATAAGATTCAAATATGATAATGCTTTTTGAGAATTTAATTTAAAAATTGCATAGTATTCAGGTTTGGGCACCAATATCTAAATTATTTCAAGTACAGGCATACCTCGACTTACGTCGTTTCGAGTTACGTCGTTCCCGATTATACGTCGTTTGTCAATAAAGTATATGGAAAAATAAAAATCAAGTTTAAGTCATTTTATTCGACTTTACGTCTGTCCGCCACAAATATTGAAGTCGTAATATCACTAGATAAACGTTTAAAGCACATAAAATCATATTAAAATATATACAAGTATGTACTGTATTTACAGTACATGCATTCGTAAATTTAGATTACTTCTTTTCTGTACTATATTAAAAACTAAAATTTATTTGTTTGTAAGCTTAAAATAGATTTTTATTAACCATATATTATTAAAAATGCATTAATAAATAAAATACAGACCCGGGAATGGTAATTTACGGTTTAGCCTAGTGATAAGTAGATTCGGAGACAAGCAAATTCGACTTACGTCGTTCTCCTGGAACCAATTACCGACGTAAGGCAAGGTATACCTGTATCTACAGTAATAAAACATTGGTTACCTGGATACAAAGCTTTACTTACAGATCAGCTCTATAATTGAAATAAGTTAAAGTAGAAAGTAATCATTTGATGTGAACTTTTATTCTAAAGTACAGTATTAATTTCTTTTATTGGTATTATCCACATCACCTATTACCAAATTTTTTTCATCCATTAGCATTGTTTTCCATTCTATTCCTTTGATCATCCTTCAACAGTGACCAGTAGAAGTAACCTATTTTATAGACTATGTCATAAAAAAGCTTCTTGTCTCAAAAATTGTTGAAAATGTTATCTCTATTATTGTATTTGAGATTATTTTAATGTTACCAGTAGCAGTGAGATGACACTTCTAATCATCAGAATGCAACTTTATTACTAGTATGCATTTCGGTAGACTAGACCCTCGTAGGCCATACATAAAAATATATAGGTATCTTGTTGTAGAAACAAATTTGCAGAGAAACCAATAACAATTAGGTATGTTTTAAACTGTAGATTGTAATTGTTATCAGTTTCTCTGCAAATTTGTTTCTACAACAGATACCTATATATTTTTATGTATGGCCGACGAGGGTCTTGTCTACCGAAATGCATACCAGTAATAAAGTTGCATTCTGATGATTAGAAGTGTCACTTTAATGTTAACAGAAACTTAACACACTGCTACTGGTATCTCTGAAAATAATATCTCAAATACAATAGTATTCAGTTATAGTCTATGCCTTTTCATATAATGTTAACTGAAAGGTCTAGTCCAGAAAAGAATGATTTTATTATGCATTAGATATTTTTTTATGTAGATATCTTGTTAAAATAAGGTTGGTGTGAATTTGCTATTTTCACTTTTCCGCAAAAACTACACATCGCACGTGAATGGTGTTTGTATGTGGTTGTAGCCCCAAGTCTCCATTCGTGCATAGGGGTGGTTGCGTCTTGATAGCTATAAGGGTGCGGGAGATATGAGGTTGAAAGTGGTTGAAAGTGGCTTTCTATTTCGAATGTTTTGTTCGAATTAAATTTGAACATAAAATTCGAATATTTGTTCGATTATAGAACGATTGTAAACGTTCCAGAAATGTTGAAAATAGTTTGTTTGACTAAACGTAAAAATTCTCTAATTAGTCTGGAAACAGGGGACCTAATTCTTGCATTCTGTGAAAACGGGTAAGATTAACTATAATGTAATTATCTTAATCTTCACTATCGTTACTTTTTGCCCAGCGAAGCGGGTCCTTGTAGCTAGATTCTAGATTACTTAGAAAAACAGTCTTTTATATATATAAAAAAAAACTATATTACATACAAATAAAAACCCAGCAAAGCGGGTCCTTGCAGCTAGTACTATAATAAAAACAAATTGAGTTGTGAATTTGTTAAGATATTTCTTAACTTTTTTTTGCAACTGGACCTTACTGGCAAAGACAAAAATCAAAACGGAACCATTTTAAAAAATTCAAACAATTGGTTTTAAGATTTGTGTTCAGTAGGATACCAAAAATGGATACCTAATTGTTGGATCTGGCCAAAAACAAATTAAGCAATGTATTTTTATATTCTTAACATGGGATTTGATTAACACAGAATTGTGACAATCCCTTTACATACATGGCAGAAGTTTTAATTAATGCAGTTTTACTGGCAGTCTTACTTAACATAGATACCATATTTGATTAATGCAATTTTGATATATGCAGTAGCATTGAGGAATTGATTAATTAACAATGTTGATCGAGGAATACCCTTAATGTTAGACAGTTAAAAAACATTATATATGTTTATGTATTTGTCTATATTGTCTTACTTTTCTTTCTACATAATCCATCTAATGCAAATAACCTGTACAATAATCAGGATTAGCAAGAGTATCTTGTGAATGATACTTTGTACAGTATAAATAATTTCTAATAAAACATTACTAATCAAATTGTTTTTTTTAATAAATTTTACATAAGATTATATATAATCAATAAAACCATCAAAGTTTTTTCACTTTTTTAAACAACATTGCTATGCATTTAATGAATAAGATTACAAAATATTAAAAATTAATAATTTTGTTTCTTTCTGTGGTGTCAAATTATAACTTATTGTCCACAGAAATTTTCTTCCTTAATAGTGTGTTCTATTTATGAGAAATTACTATTGTCTTATAATCATCATCTCATCTTTTCAATCTTAAATCAAATAATTATTTGCTTTCTTAAGCAACACTAACTATAGTTGATATGTTTTAATAGGTAGTTATTTTGGATGTTGTCCTGACATTGAGAGACTAAAAATTATTATTATTGTTTTTTAGCATGTTCCACTATGGCAAAAGTCCTAACATAAGCACTTCACTAGTCTGTCAGATTTACATGTACTGTACATGTGCAATTACCTAAATGTTATGTTATGTTCGATCTATTTATTGCACATGTCCACACGCATGCACAATGACCACCTGTGAAAAGTCATTTCAATTTTAAGAAGAAATAAAAGACTTCGATTGAATTTTTTCAGCTTTGTATAAATGATAATATATGAAATAAAACAATTGAATGTGAAGAAATGTTAAGCTTTAATTGGATTATTGTCAATTAAAGACAAAAAATAAGGTTTATCTAATGTTTCTATTTTTATTTCAGCAACTATCTGTGTAGCCATCATCAGGATCGAACTTTAACTTTTAAATATTACGTTCTAAACCATAAACATTAATATTTAAATGTTTATGGTTTAGAATATAATATTTAAACATTTATGTTTATAAACCCTATCTCTTACTGTATATTCAATGAAAAATTCTTCTGAACTACTACTTGATTAAAATAAATTTTATAAATTCTTGGAATCAAAATATTTGCTTCACTTTTGTGGAGTGCTATCAGATCGGCTTGACCAATCCTGGAACAAAAACTATTTGAATACATACACAAATTTTATTAGAAATAACCAATTTTTTTGACCAAAAAAAAATCAAAGCCATAGGTCCATCCAGGATAAGCTTAAATATTTTTTAAAAAATCATTCATTTTATGATATCTTAGATGGATCCTTCTATTTTTTGTGAAGTTTAATAAAATAGAAATAACTGATTTGGTGAATAAAAATAGTGTAACTCAATCACCCTGGAAATAAATTTTGAAGTTATTAACTACCCAGTCAAACATTTTTACAATAAAAAAAGTTTACAGATAATAAATTTGAATAAAACAACACTGACAATTGTTAATGGAAGATAATTTATTAAGTACATAAAATTTGTACACAAAATACAGAATATAAATAGAATTTTTTTAAAAAGTTCATTAAATCGAAACAAATATTTGCATATTTTCAATGCTAATGATTTTCCCCCCTCAAATTACTATAAAAAAATTGAAATTCATTTTAACAATTTGGATGTAAAAACAAATTATAAAAACATTTTAAAATGCTTATGGAATGATTTTTACATTGAATATATGAAAATAATATTTGAGTATTATAAATCTTTTTTACAAGAAAATTTTTTGGCAGTTTAATACTTGTCATTTTTTTTTTTAAATCCCAATTTTTTAACAATACAAAAAATTGGAAACGAAGTATACAATTTAAATTTCTTGTCATCGAGCGATTCGACTGACGTATTTGAACTCTGAATGTCCTTCGTGAAACTTTGTCTCGTCTCAATTCAGTTTGCTTCCCTTTTCTTTGTTGATCATACACATACCACATTTAATTCACCACTCAAGCATTACATATATAAAATTAATATAATAATTTATATATATTTGTCAACGTTGGTTTGTTAGAGCACATCAAAAAAGTTTCGAATGGTTAAGAAATTAAACTCGTTCGTCAAAATTTATAAAATGTATTTGACATTTATAATATATACTTTAACAATCAATTTGTTAATTTTGTTGAAAATAACTTTTCAAAACAAATGTGCTCATAATTAGTTTATATCTTTTTTGATGAAATTAAGTATATTATCTCTATTAGAATCTAAAAATAGAGGATAAAATATAAATATCAATTTAAAAGGATTTTTCTTCCCGGCAAATTTTGTTACATCATATACATTTTTTTTTGTTGTTGCTTCTTTTAATCTTTTACACGATATACATTTGTGAGTATTTACACAAATATGTCATGAAAAAAAACACTTACAGAATATTTATATAGAGATGAGAATGAAGCTAAGATGACTGTTTATATCTACATGCTGTACATGCCTTATGTTCTTAATTAAAAAATGCCGAGATGACAGTTCTACTAGGACTAGCGGGTAAAAACACTGACCGTTTTTGTGCATTTTTCGAAATTAGCAATTGCTACTATTACTACTAGAATTTCTTGCAGGTGCGTGCTTCATGAGTTCCTGTACAGTTATGGCAATAAATATTAATCCCCGTTCTTCGAGTATATCCTGTGGCGTGCAGAGCAGTTCCTAACATACAAAAATAAAGTAAACCAAATAATATAAAATTAAAAAACAATAATTCAATTGAAAAAATAAATAAAAAGTTAATTTGTACAAAACAGAAAATAACTGGTTAAATAATAATAAATGAACAAATAAAAACAACCATAATATGTAAAATAATATTTAAAACAAAAACAATGTAACTATATAAAAATTGGCTCATTTTTTTTCTTTTGTTATCCTAATAATTTTGCATTTCTGTTTTATGATTAACACCAATACTATGATGAATAAAAAAAATCAAATTTAGAAAAATATTCATATATTAAATTTCAATTAAAAAATGATCTATAATCCAATCTAGTTCAAGTACAAGTAAATATATAAAAGAAACAGTTTTAATTTTTACAGCAATTAGAAACTTAATATAGCCCAATAAGTAATGTGGCAGCTAATTAATAAATCAATACAAAGCAATTTGGCTAGAGGTTGGCAACAAAGCTGTCATTTCATGATAAATTTAATAATAATTCTAAATTAAAATTGAAAATTCATTTATTTATATTCTGGAAGAAAAAAATTGGCCCAGAACAGGACTCGAGTCCACAACTCCCGCCTATATCGCAAGTGTATTGCCAGTTATGCTACCTGAATCTCCCATCCACCCTTCACTTCTAACGCTATTAACTAATTAATTAATTTAGATATAATCATACTGGTTGAGGGCTGTGGCACTAAAGTGCAACTAAAGTTGCCCCCATTTACACAGATGGTTATATCATAAATCATACTGGTTTCTGAAAGTGCCAGATTAATAATTAAAAATGTGAATGTTTGAGTTTCTTACCATATTTCCAGACAAATAACAGCATGCTTTATATGTAAAAATTACTTGTTTTCATATTTTGAAACATATGTCTGCTTCTCTTATAACAACATGATCTTATAAGCTAAGACAAGCTGGCACACATAAGAGTATTGCACTCCTGCATCAATGTAAATTTAAATGTACTGATACAGATATGTCAAAGAATATTTACTGTAACCATTATTAAAAATGCTTCTAATACTATAGAAGTGTTTTAGGTACTAGTACTTTGTGGAATATACTGCTGATTATGCCCTGTCCATAAAAGCATGCTCTTATATGTTCAGAAATATGTTTATTTCATATTCTGATTAGTATAAAATGTCAGTAAACTTTTTAACATTTCTGTCATTTAAACCAGATTTATTCTTATGACAATATTGTACATATATTTTCATTTCCAGGAATCAAAGTTCATTTTCTGTGAGTAACAACAATTATTTTAAGTAAAATTTCCTGGATGAAAATTTTTCTTAATTTGTTAACTTTCACTTTGACATCCACCATTACATTTGCATTCAATTACTTTTGAATAATCTCTTGGATAATTGAAGTATTAGTTTTGCATTGGATACAGTTAAATCATAATGAACTACAAGTAAATAGAAGCTGCTATTGACAAATGGAAATAATAATCATTTTTTTTTTTTTGGAACTATATTGGCATTTTGTCTTAAAACACCAATATCACAGTTTAAGTACCAAGACAGAATATATTTTTTCTGATGATTTACAATTCTGGTTAAAAAGTGGATTGATCCAGACAATTATGACATAGAAGTACATTTGTTCTTAGAATTTCACAACCTACAGTATTTAGATTTCTCAAAAATGTTTTCTAAAAATCTTCTCTCTCAGAATATCCTTTGTAGAATCACAATAACTTTGAATGTATAATAAATTTTCATTTATATTTTAAGCTAATGAAGCATATTAATATGTTTAACACAAACTATTACTGAAAGATTAAGTATTGAAATTGCTTCAACTTGTTTAGTAGCATTATTTCCATTTTAATTTGTGTGTTTGTACTGGTATTTTTATCTTTAAACTACTATATCTCTAAGCTACATAACTTCACAATAAACTACAATATGTAAAGAAAAGGAATAGAGTACTCTACTTGATAAACATAGGAAAATATATAGATATTTACACTTATTCTAGTTTTTAGAAATGTTTGTATCTGTTTCTAATATGACATTTTCTGGGATCAAAATCTATGAATTGTGATAAGCTGTACTAAATTCACAATATAATTAATCTGAAGCTTGAAGTTATGTTCCTGCTCTATCATTTCAGCTGAAATATTAGATTTTCTTTTGTTTTATGTCGCAATTTGTTTGTTATCACATAAGTTATTAAAAATATTATATTACTGAACCAAACAATTGCTGTAATTAATCGGGCTATTTTATGCTACAATTAGTAATTAAAAATTCTAATTATTAATTGTAGCATAAAATAGCCTGATTAATTACAGCAATTATATGATGTAGTATTAAGACATCAGGCTTTGATATGCTTATAAATATTATATTACATCTAGTTTTATTTACCCTAGAGTGAACAGAGAAATAGACCATAATGACTGCTATGAGTCCCTGTTCTTTCATTCAAATATGATTATTATATTCTGAATAATCAAGATTTTATACATTGTGGTGTTTCTTGATCCTTTGTAATATATTTTTATATGTTATGTTTGTGCAGGCTTATCACATTCATATTTGTTGAAATTTCCTAAATTAATAATATTACAATTTTATTTTATGATTCACATTTATAGATTTAATTTTTATGATAAATTTACTATTAATTTATAAAGCATATTTTAACTCACTGAACATGTAGAGCCTTCTGACTAATTCCTGTATACAAATATTTTTACTGACATCTACTCAATGCAAAACTTGATATGTTCCCATTTCTTACTTTATTCACTTAATTATACAGAATTTTCCTCAGTTAATTATGCAATTGTGGAATCATGAACAAGCAAGTTGTTACTGTCTTAAATATCTTAATTAAAACTCTTTTGATCTTTCTCTTTTGCTTAGATAATTACTTTTATCCCTAATTTTCACTTTCTTGTATTACAGTTACATTTTGAATTAAATTTATTACCTGATACAAATCATATCTGTTTTCAGAAGATGAAACATGACAGTATGTTTGTGTTCAAATTACATATGAAACTCATGAGAGCTGTTTATGTAAATAATAAATTTTATTTAATTTCCATGCTCAATTCAAATGAAAATAATAAAAGATCAAAATGATGTATACCATTTACAGTGTATAATTTTAATCTATTTACATTCAAAAATTTACAAGCCAAAATAATGTTTTATGAAATATTTAACAATGTTTGCAATATAAAAATCATCATTAGGCCTATTCCAAGGAAAAAGTGATAACACTTTTATATATATATATTTAGTAAGTTTATTATATAAACTCCATGGCTTATTTAATGCTCAAAAACATTTTCATTTGTAAAAATTATAAAATCTTACAAATATCATTATCACAGGAAAATGCATTTACTTTTTAAAATTCTTTGGCAATAATCTGAAGCCATACAATTTATATATATTTTTTTGGTTAGATTGACCATCATTACTTCAAAATACAATACATGTATTGTTTTAATACACTATAATCTGTATTTCTAGATCATCTGCAGATTACAATATTAAAAAATAATTCTTGTATAATGGCCTTACAAATGTCTGCATATTGCTTGTAAACATTTCAACTATATTTTATAAATTATTTAAATAAAACAATAATGAAGGAATAATATACATGGAAGATATTTATTAGATTATGTACTTGGATTATATACTTTATAAATGCTGTAGTGAAGAAAATGTATTATTATAAACTAATCTGTAAAATTTGCAGTATAAATACATTACTATTACTTTCAAATTTCTTATTGGCTCCTAATATATAATGTAATCTTTCATTTGATTGATAAAAGCTAATATAAAAATTTTACTGCAATGATAAACAAATCTATGGGCTTGTAAATTTGTCTAAATTCATGCTAATTATGTTATGCTATTTAAAAAATAAATTAAGATGGTGCAAATACATTGATTAAAGTAATGGAAAGACTGTTATATATACAAATGTTAATTTGGTCATTTGAGTACATTATTCTTTCATTAAAGTATAGAAGCTTAATTCTATATATATATATATATATATATTTATTTTACATTAAAAAATTATCAGCTTTATAATTCAATTATGATCAAGTTTTTTCCTACATCAACAGCAGATTTGATGCACTTAATTAATGAGAATTTATAAAATATTGCACAGAAATACAGTAATAGTTCAAGCATTAAAAGTCTAACAGTTAAGATGGAGGATAAAAGTAAAACAGCAAGAGTGTTCCGAGTAATAAATTCAGCAGAAAGAATGACAGTATGACATCACAGACAGTAGGCAAGATTTGGTGATTTTTTTGGCTAGTATATAAAAGACTTCTTACAGTGCATGCCACATGACCAACATGCAATTTCAAAACAACTTCTTCCCATCTACATAGTTGTGCCTAAAATAAATATTCATAATATGAAATGATTTCAAAATAGTCAGAAATAAAATCTTGCTATATAAATTTTATGCTTTATTATGATAAGTTTCAAACATAATATTACTAAATTTTGAATTATTTTAAGAGAAAAGCATATTTTTTAAAATATGAAAGTTTACAATTTTCAATTTTATAAAATCATACAAAATATCTAAATAAACTTAATAAAATTTAGACTCAAATAAAAATCATCAAATTTTGATAAATTTATTAATGTTTTAACTTCAACAAATAATTTTTTAAAATAGAGAATATACATTACTATCAATACACTATCATCAAACAACTAACAAAACACGTACTTTAATAGGCAGAATAATGTTTTCAACCATCTTAATCAGTCATCAACGTTATTCTGTCTGTTAAAGTATGTGTTTTGCAGAAGTTTTGGTGTTAGTGTGTTGATTTAAACTTTGAATTATAAATAACTATATTTATAAGTAACTAAAAACTTCATCCAATTTTTATTCATAAATATATAGATACAATTCATAAATAAATATATAAATGCTTATATATTTTGAAGTATTTTTAATCTATTTTCAAAACTATGGGATTTTTAGATGAAGTAAAGTTGAACTAATATTCAAACAAATATATTTATTATCAATTCATGTAATGCAATTTATATTATATATAATCAGCTGTATTCTAACTGAACTGAACTTACTCTCATTTTATCTTAATTTAAAAGTGTTATCAAACAAAATAATCAATATTTTTATTTGACTAGAAAAAATGACTATCAACAAACTAAGCAAAATGGCAACTTATTCATGTACAGCTAATCACAAAGCTGTATTTTTTTATAATTCTTTTATCTCAGATTTCAAAGCATATTGAAACAAATATGCAATTTCTTTTAAATTCAATTATTGTTCTACAGTTATTATGTTTCCATTAGGAACTAAAAAATAAATTTTTATTTATGGCAAAGTTGCCAATACTCTCTTTTTGAAATATTGCATTAGAATAGAATTATCATCCATTGGATACATTTCATATCTTATCAATGAATCATTTTAATTTTTTTGTTTACACTTCTTTGCAGAGAATCTTTCAGAAATATCTGTTTCTGAACATAATTCAACATACCATTTAATATTAAAATTCTAAATTGTTTGATTTTGTAAATCAGCCAACCATTCCTGTATTGGCAATGTTTTTTGAGAAGATTGCCCTAATCTTCTAGAACTTCTTTCATGAAATAATAAAGAACAAGTTCATATTTTCATTATTAAATACACACACCCACAAATATATATGTATATATACATAATGGATGCTATTTTTTGACAGAAGAAAGAAGTTAAATTTATTTGCAAAGAAAAGTTTAAGGTTAGTAAGTATAAGATTTCTGAATTTGCCAATTCTGAAAGTGAAATAAATATTCGGTTAGTACTCTTCTTACAGTTTTAACTTAGAATAATTTAACAAAGTTNTTAGACACAAAAACTAACTTATTTGATAAGCATAATCCTTAAGGCTATTGTGTTAATTAAAAATTGTATTCACTACTTTTAAAATATGCTAAAGTAGCTGCTCTCAATGAAGTTGCTTGAAAGAAGATAATCTAAAACCTTTGATGGCAATCACTTTAAATGGCCCTTCAGTTTTACTTTCACAGCTGGTTATGTATTGATATATATAACAAGGGAAAGTATTGGAATTGTTCCAAATTTGACCCTCTGAATTTTTTGCAAATATCAGTGTTTTGAGACCCCTTGAATACTAAAAGTCAAAAAATAAGAAAAATTCCATGTGTGTATGTGTGTGTTTGCATGTGTGGTGGTTATCTATTTCATTTAATATCTCAGGATGGGGTGATGATTAAGAAATTAAATTTGGCATGGTAACTTTTACACATAAGGACATTGATACTATTAAATTTTGAAAGTTAAAAGTTGAGGAGAAAGTTGGGAGCTAGAGGAAGTTACATGTTATACCTCAAGTGGGGTGGGCTTTCTGAAGATTTTACTTATCAGTATTTACAATCTTTTATAAAACTGATCTCTACCCTCAAAATTATGCTTTTTGTCATTTTATAATTAATAATATAAAAGTTATTTTTTAACAAAATCTCATATCTGGCAACTAGATTAGAAATACAAAATAATAATAATAAACTTAAAATATAAATTTTTGTTAAAAGATTTGTTTACACATTACAATCAAATATATTTTGCATCCTAGATAATATGAAAATACAAATTAATACAACAAAAAGCATTCACAGGGTTTGAGTTTACTTGAAAATTTCCTAGGAATTCTAAATTTTGGGAAATTCCAACTCAGAAAAATTTCACTTGAGTTATTTTTGACTTACAATATTTTCCAATTCCATAAGTACAGGCACTTCCTAATTTCAAAATAATCACTATATGCACATGACTGATATTTACTGTCAGTAATATGGCCAATGGTCAAATATACACAGGTTGCTAGATATAAAAAACTGGGATTGGGTTGCTTTTTAAGTAATACAAAGGATTTTAAAAAATCAAGAAACTTCTATCTTTTAGATGACTTCTTGGACTACTNACAATCTTTTATAAAACTGGTCTCTACCCTCAAAATTATGCTTTTTGTCATTTTATAATTAATAATATAAAAGTTATTTTTTAACAAAATCTCATAACAGATCATGCCACAGACAATTTCAATTTTGTGTTAATATGTCTGTCTTTTCACTAGGAAAGTTATGCAACTCAGTGCTGGATTTTTTTAATCATATTAATAGAATATTTAATTAATTATCTTTGGCTCATGTCATTGTTATTTGGTAATTGCAACACTTTTCCAAATATAATTTGCTACATTTCACTTTTGCACACTGAACAATAGGATAAACTTTACTTAGGAATACCCAATTACAAAGTTTTTAAAATGTTACCAAAACATTTTAACACTTGCTTTCATGATATGCTTTAAACCAGTTTTTTTTATACCAAATTTTTATCAATATTTTGCTTCAATGAAAAATACTGCAAGTGATGACAGTATGAATGAAATTATTATATAAATGTTGTCTTGCTATACTCTTTATTGTTAAATTTAAAATTTTAAATGTCTTATTTTCTATATACTCATAAAAAATTACTTCTCCAGCCTGTGACTTAAGCTAAAAACCATAATTCTGCTCCAACTTGAAAAAATTGAAGAATAAATGATTAAAGGTATCAATTTTCTTCTTATTTTAGTCATGAAGTATATTAGAAGAACTACTACCAATATAATCACAAATCACTACAAAATATAAAGCTTATTAACATTTCGGAACAACATTCAGTGCAGAAATTTGGAAAGGTTATCCCAGTTATCATACTTAAAAAGTTTCTATTAAAGATGATAACAATTAGCAATACTTAAAATGCAAAAAAAATTTAAATAGCAAAAGCAAATCTTAAAATAAAGTTCATTTTTAAATGCAAAAATTTTCTAACNAAGGACAACTTAGGCTGAAATTATCATATTTAAAATGTTTAAGATTAAGTAACATTTTATTACAATTATCTTTTAGATTCTAAATCTCTTAAATTTTGAAAATTAGTATATAAAAGTTTATGGTTTATTTTATAAAATTACTTTAACTTCTTAGCCTTTGAATGCTGCACAACATATAATGCTATTATACTATATGTCAAATTCATTCCCTTAGCTATTTCTTCAAACACTGTTTTTATAATATTTGAGATATCTAAGTTTGAGCACAAAACTTTTTTTAAGGATTAAACATTTATCAATAAATATTCTCAAAACATTCATTGCAAAAAAAAATGTCGTCATACTAAAAATCTTGTAATACATAGTATTTATTTAAACTCATCATATAACATGAAATGCATTTGTATATCAAAGATATTTCATGTTATATGATATTTTCAATTAATTAATTTCAAATATATCATCAATTAATTAATGATTAATGTTATTGGTTTATTTACTTCTACTTACCACAGCAGGTGAAGGCACATGTATACTAGCAACAGAATGGGGTCTAACCCGATTGGCCAAATGGCAAAGAACAACACCATCCATCAAAGCTGATCCCAAATCTTCTGGAAGTGTCACTTTTAATTTAGCTTCAATGATCTAAAATATACATTTTTCACTTATGTAATCTAATTAATATTAATAATGAAATGAAAAATAAATTATACATAAAGAAAAATAAAACTGACAAAAGGCACTACAGATAATTTCAAAACAATTCATAGTAAACTATCAGAAAAAGTCAGAACTAAAATAGTATATATTTATTAATCTAAAGAAGTTAAAATCTTAGATCAGTTAGATAAGTCTTTTCAATATTTTATAAAATTTCTAATATATATTATACATAATTCCATATTATAATTTTTATAATACAGTAGAGGGCACTCTAGTCTTCAATGTTATTGGCATCTTTTTTTCTCTTGGCAGTTATGTTTTATTATAGATAATATAATGACTTTTGTTCTGTTAGATTTGATTAACAATAATTTAATACAAATTTATTTTTCTTCTTGTTAATCTCTGGGATTGAATCAAACCCAGGACCTTTGCAAAGATCTCTGGCAAGAAGAGTCAGATCACCTTCAAATCGTCAAAAACAACATCTTAAAGCTATTTCTTCAAATTTGGATACAAAATTAATTACCAAATTTACTGAAGTAAGGATATCTGATTCTACTCATTCACGTGAGTAAACTAAGCTAAATTTCACTTAAGACTTATCAACGGAGGATAAAGAAGGCATTACAGTTGCAGATTTATGGATAAAAATTGTCGAGTAATTACTACTAGTAATGAAAAATTAGTCAATCAGATTTCACTGATTAAAGATGAACTTAGCATTATACAAAATTATTTTAAAAACCAACTACAAATAGTTAATGAGAGTAATAAAAAAAAATGAAAAATGAAAAAGAATTAATTCAATACAAATTAAGATTCTTTAGTAAATATTAGCTTGTTCAGAAAGTAATTTCATTTTTTTTACCGCTAGACAGATTAGTCGTATTCTTCCCGCCATTTTCATTCTAAACCGTATTATCATTATATATTTTGATAGCTATCATTTTAAGGCTTATTTGTAAAAAATTTTGTTTGATTTTGTGCAATTGTCTATTTTTGTGTCCCATCAAATAAGATCAAAAGCAGCATTTTCGGCATATTTTGCTCTTTTATTACCAAAAAGGTAAGAATGCTGTTCAAGCGAGAAAAAAATTGTGTGACNATAGCAAAATCTGTGCTAGGTCTTATTTTCTGCGGATGTCTTATTTTCGGGGAAACACGGTAGGTAAAAGCTTATTAACAATAAGTCAGTGTACTACAGTATATTAATATCTTTTAATTTTGTCAATTGTTCTTATTTTATTCAGTAAAGATATTTAACAAATAACAAACAAAAACTTATAACAAATGCCCTCTAGAAACAGCGTAATTTAGTAAATTTCGCTTAGCAAAATAACTAGCATGAATGGAAAATAATTCAAGCCATTTCATAATTACTTGTAAATTATAAAATTTTGTAAAATCAAATAAATTAAAAGCTTAAATGAATTTGAAACTATGATTAATAAATATATAGCAATCACATCATGTTTGTGTTCTTGTTTTACCACTGAACAGAGTGCTTCATGTGTGAGTATTAATATAGAGCAGCAGTCGCCAAGTGGTGGTCTGTGGACCACTGATGATCTGCAAGAAAATTTTAATGATCTGTAGAAAAATTTGGACATTGATCAACTCAAGGTTACACTAAGTATTATGAAACAAATGCAAAATACTTTGTTGCTTTTTCTCATTCACTGGTGGGTTTTTATTCAAATCTTAAACCAAACATGAAATGACTTAATAAATAATATTAGTAAATCAATAAATAATNTCATTTTATAGTAATTAGAAATATAAAAACTTTTTATAATAAAATCTGATAACAGATGGCACCACACACAATTTTATTTTTTGCTTAATAATATAAAAGTTTCATTTAATAAAAACTCATTACAGCAAGGAAAGTTACAAAACTCTTGTTGCTAAATTTTTAAATAACTATTGCTGTATCACCTACACAACAGCCTGTGTAGTGTTGCACTAGACTACTACTATATTATGTAGTATGACATACTCTATCCATTATATTTTTATTACCCCCTTTAGAAAAACTTATCTCAAGTAGTAGTCTTGTTATGTTTTGGAATTGGTCATCTTAAAAAAGTTTTACATTATAGTGTTTTATTAATTTATGGATAAGTTTATTATTTTCAATTCTTATTGTTATATTTATGAAAATAATGAATTTAACATAACAAATTTAAATTAAAATTTATTTTATATTCAGTTTCATTCAAAATCTGTCAAAAATATTTACAGCTCATTTCAAAAATCTTCACTGGGTTACAAAAATGCAGAGTAGCAGGATCCAGTCTATTTAGTGAAGGGAACAGACTGATGAATCTGTGGCAATGTTACTGTGCATTAGCAAAAGAGATTCTTGAACTTTATAAAGCTTCAGGAGCCCAAACTGAGTACTGTGCATTGCCCATCCAAGATAATGAAATGATTTGTATGTAGTTGTGATATTTAGACACAAAAACTAACTTATTTGATAAGCATAATCCTTAAGGCTATTGTGTTAATTAAAAATTGTATTCACTACTTTTAAAATATGCTAAAGTAGCTGATGATTATTACTATAATATACTGCATACATATTTATTTTAAAAACTTTATATTAATTTGTTTGAAAATTCGCATAAAAATAATGTATTTTAAACTTATGTGACAACTTAACAATAAACACAAAAAAAATGGCAAATACACATTCTGTATCAAGATGATAATAAGTAAATAGAATTCGTGAAACTGAATATAAGTACATAAGATAATCTGTAGATTTAATGGGTAAAAGTTATCTACAAGCTTCTAAAACTTTAATAATTTTAAATTACAATACAAATAGTTGTGTGAGATCCCAGGATATAAGTCTTTAAATTTCCAAAATATTCATTTTTGTTAAAATTTTATTTCATAATTTGTTTCAGAAATAATTTTGAGAGAAAAGTGATGAGGAAGTAACCAGATCTTGACAAAGATAACACTTCCTGGAGAGACGGCTCATACAGAGAAGTAAAGAGAAAATTTAAGATTGGATAATGATTTTTTGTTTCATCCAATTTTACCTTTTTTGGTCATCTTGACCCAGAGAGCAGAAAAAGTTATAAAAGAACCACCAAAAGGTCAACTAGTTCCACTCAAGGAGGAGACTTGCGGTCTCTCCTATTTACAATGTCCAGTTCAGTGGTCACCCTTCAGTACAGTTCAGCCAATTAGTCCTAGTCCAGTCTCATCACTACTCAACCACTCCAACTACTACGAAAGGCAACTTCGACCCAATAACGGCCACTCAGAAGGAAATAGAATATCGATAGAAAGGAGAAATAGAGAATTTTTGATTCAAGAGAAATAGTTGCCTTGAAGACATTGCTTATTACTTAAGGTAATCTACACATTACCTAATGTAAACTCTCACGAGCAGTAGAATTTAGTTGTTAAGTTAAGATAGCTTTGAAGTAGAAATTCAATAAGCACGCCATTGATAAGTATGCCACTTCATTGTCAGGCATCTTTATGTAAATTAGAATTCATTTTATTTTGTATAATCATAGAAATATATACTGTCAATAAACATAGTTTGTTTTAGAATAATTGTAGCATTGAGTGCATCACTCCCGGGATTCCCCATCTCTTACTTCCCTCATCCATTAACCCAAGTCTCACATATGACACTCACTCTCACGCATTAAAAAATGTACATGAAAAATCCCCAGACTCAAAGATATAGATGGTGTCAGAGTCCAGACTGATAGGGGCATTCTAGCTATTACAGTTAAAATAATGCCTCAATCTTTATTTAAATTTACTATGCTTAAATTATAGTATTAAGCTGAAGTATGTGAGTTTATATACGTTCTAATAGTATTAAGCCAGTAATATTCAAACATTTATTATTACCATTCATTCTATTTAATACAGTATTATTCAAAAAGATTTTCTTGTAAATATTGATACAGTCGACCCCCCTATAACGTACGTTCCTGTAACGACAATTCCTATAACGTAGCGAAAAAATTGTAGCAACTTTCGTATACAATACCTCCTATAACATCGTTTCGCGACAAGATTGATAGAGTCTGGACCAATAGTGGATGAGCAGCCAAACTACTTTCCTCCGACCCTGCGCCTATGTATGTATGTATGTTTACAATTATTGATCCAGTTAATTGAAATTTATGATATTATATATATATCATACAATATAGTAATATAGTTTATATGTATAATTTGTATATTTCCAATCCATCTAGAAGAATAAGAATAAATGATAATCTAAAAACTAGAACATATGCTTCATGCTTCTAACTTCTAAGTTTTGATTTATGTGTCATAATATAAATTACAAAATTAATTACAGTAAAACTTCTTCACATGATCACCTTTAGGTAAGCAGATTTTATTAGAAAAATTATTCCATAAAACTCATTGTTTTTAATCATCCTTAAGCTGATTACCTCTTCACCTGATAAATAACTACCTGGACTTAATCCCTTTGTAATTTTAAATATCCTCTTTGAGGCAATTAGTTTCATCCAGGATGATGAAATCAAAACTACGAGCATATAAGAGTTTTGAACATGTTGCACTGTTGCATTAGGTCTAAAACTGTCTCTCAATTTTTCCAACTTCACTGTCCTCATTTTTTTCCTGTTCAGTCCTATGAAGACTATATGTAATTTGCTGTTAATATCTTCAAAAACAAATTAGCTTGTGCTATATTCTTATATTCTATTAATTCTTATTAGGCAAACCAATAAATTTAATTTTTCCATTAATAGGGATAGATAAAATGGTAATTAAGGGCAACAAATTTGACTGGTCTTCAGAATCCATTTGGTTTGAAAGAGATCTGTTTGATCAAATAAAAAAGAAATATTGAAGGCATCATCTTATCAAAATAGTTGAGACAGAGAAAGCAAACATCCATTTTAAATCAGACATTGAACATGGTATGTATTATGTTTTCATGTACAGTATAGTGTGAATTAATATATTGCATTTTTACTTTCCCTGCTGTTATGTATACATAACAAGGGAAAAGATTGTAATCATGTCAAATTTGACCCTCAGTTTTTTGCAAATCTCCATGTTTTAACACCTCCTGAATCCAAAAGAGTCAAAGAAAACTAAAAATTTCATGGATATGTGTGCGTGTGGGCATCTATTTCGCTTAATATCTAAGGATGGGGTAAGGATTAAGACATGAAATTTGGAATGGTGGCTTGCATTTGAGGAGCATTAATGCTATTAAAATTTTGGTGGTAAAAAATCAAGAAGGTAGGGAAATAGAGGAGGGTTATGTCTCATAGGAGGGGTAGGACTTAATGAATATTTTATTTGTTATTAACATTTACACTTTTTCATAAAACTCATCACTACCCTCAAAATTAAGCTNGTATAGAATATAGAATAGATATAGGTAAAATTGTACAAAGCACAAAGTAAGATTCTAGTTAAGAGTGTTCTTGTTTCAAACTAACCAAGGGTAGGAATAATCTGAAAAAATTGAAATGGCATGTTAAACAACCATAAAAGACAAATTTGTAGAGTTTTGCATGTGAAGATATGTAAAACTGTGTTCAGGGAATTGAAAAAAAAAAAAAAAATATACCATTATTCAATAAGTCGGCATATTTGATAACCCAGCATCAGTCCCAACGATGCCAGGCTAACAGAATGTCACTGTGCTAACATTATAGTTTTTTCACACACTTTTAAATATAAAGACACAAAACTATAAAATAAGATTAATATAAGATTATTACTATGGAATAAAGCTCACTGCTTATAAACTTTTAAAACTACATTTTAATATTAATTTTCTTTATAGGAGAAAGCAATGTACAAAATTACATGTAATACTTACACAACGTAAATGATCAACCTGCTTTTTTTCTTCTTTAACTTTATCTATTTCTCTTCGTGCTGTAAATGATGGAGATGAATAATCTGAAGTAAAAATTAAACTCTGAAACTTTCTGATAAAAAAAACGACATGAAAACTATAATCTTATTGTACATTTAAATCTTATTTGATTTTTTAATGAAGTGTTTTGATCTGTTTTCATATTAATTTTTGGACAAAGATTGGATAAAGATATATAGTGATTATAAATGTAAAAGAAAAACATAATTAAATACATATTAACTTTTTTAAAAAACATATATAATTACATTTAAAATACAAAAGAAAATGTGAATTTTTATTTTATATTTTGAAATAAATGCATATTCAATTGTAATCAGTTAAAATTTAAAAAACTAAAATACCATATTTTACAGCATATAAGACATGCTTATCTTTCAACACAGCATGTTTAGGAAAAAAATATTTAGTGTATTTATCTGCAGCCTACTGGAAGCTATTTGGGGGAATTCATTAGTCTATAGAGGATTGCAACTTCACATATACAATAAAGGACAGATGTTTGAGCCTTTCTTTTTTTTGGGGGGGATAAAAACTGTCTTGTATACCATAAAATGTAATATTCTATAGATCTGAGATTTGATTTTTCCCATTCTTTTTCTACTGCAAAACTTGTGATCAAATTCACAATAAAACATTTATATCTTTTATTTTTCAAAAAACTAAAGAACTTTAAAATTCAAAAATAAAACTGTCCAAACCATTGAGTTTTTAACATGCTGATTTCATTCAAATAATAACTGCATCTTGTCCCTAAAGCTTAAAATAATAATTGTCTTCAAATAGTAGGCATGTTTATTATTACAGGATTTCTGAAAACTTAAGGAACATTGTAAAATTAATAAATATTGTAAACTAGAGTAGGTAAGTACTTTATACGTTTAAGAAACAAACTTTAACAGAAAATAAAATATGTAAAGTGCAGTGGCATGCCATGACATTTGATGATAGGGAAGCTCTGTTTCTGTAAGCAGCCAACTTCCAGGGGCAATCAGTTAATTGTGTGTCAGTGATGGTCTAGGATTCATTTGTATTCGTTTGTTTGATAAGCATAAAAACTGTAGACTTCTCTAAATGTATTTTTAATAAATTATTTGACGTACTTAATAAATAAACAAGTTCAATATAATTACATCTGTTATTAGATTCAATAGATTCCCTATGCCTTCTAAATGTCAATTCTTGCTTTGATAAAAAACATACAAGATCTATTAATTTAGATAAAAAATCTATTAGCTGTAACTATCTTGTAATAATTTTCAATATTTATTTTATATTATTTACTAATGTTAAATTCTGTTCTGCTTTGATTTCCAAATTGTTTCAATTTTACGAAAGAATCAATTGACATTTACGATTTTCATGTCTTTTGCCAGCTTTATTCAAATTATTTAAATCGTCAAAGCCAATCTCATTCCACATACTAATTTTATTTGAAAATAGTAGGCAAGGCCAACAAAACAATTTTTGCATTTTTATGCATCCACAAAGCCATTTTATATCTTCATAAATTTTATCATGAAAATGTCGAA